CTCCTTGAATAATGTATATATTCGATATACACCTTTACAATAGAAGCCCTTCATATTTAGTGATTCTAGTTATATATTATATATATATCATACATACATCAGCTCTTTAGTATATAACTTATATATCTCCTGATTATATATCGAAAAATACAGGATATATATCTTTAGAACTGCGAAGAGTTTCAGTTGTTATATTAGCAAAGCGATTCTCTAGTTCATTAATTCAAACTGGTAAGGTTGAGTTCTGATATCATCTTATACTGAGTAATAAATTTTGCATATGTTGTAAATATGATAGATACAAAGTATTTAATTTATAAATAAGATACATATTTGTCACAATAGCGAAGCTAGTATCAAGATAATTAGAATTTATATTATTTTTGTGATGTGGTGGAGTATGGAAAAGTAAAGTATCTCGAGTTTGGGCATTGGTATTTATAGCAGAGGGCACTTAAAATTACCCGTGTAGATACTCACGAATGATAGTCATGGTAGATCGTGATTATTTCATGAAAGGAGGATCTATTTCGAACATAAGTACTAAAACTGGTTCAGGCACGTGAGTGCCCTTATCCATAAGTAAATTGTACAGGTAAATAGTTATGAGATTTTAACATGAGCAGATATCATCAACGAACCATTTTTAACTATGATTATTAGCACGTTATATAGCCACATATATCACTGCTTACACATTGTTTGTAGATCTAACTGATATATTATATACTGATATATATTACATACCCGATATAGATTTTTAACTCATAAATCTGGCTCTGGTGGCTGATTATTCTCGTGTTTACTTTGCATGTATATTTCGTGGATTTATTCCAATGTTTTGATATTGATGTCACGCATATATATGATCATATGATCTTGATTATTATACCGGAAATCCTAGTTGGCACATGAATATTTATCATACTCTATTACGCGTCGCGTGTCAATTTCACCATATGTCAAAAGAAAAACTTATTCCTTATTCAGATTACTTCGACGAATATACTGTTGATAGTTGGTCCTACTCAAACTTTATCCGCTACGCTCTTAACAAAAGGTTGCTCCCGTTTGACCTTGAAAAAGTCTATAATTATAAGTACAAAAAGTGTCTGGATTTTATCGAACAAAATTACGATCCTTTGAAGCGCTCAAAGGCAATTTCACTAAAGGAATCGTTTAAGGTTAGTATATTTGTGTGCAAATGAGTATAGCTTGCTAACAACACAGCTTGGTTTTCAGCCAGGTCAATACTATACGGAGTGCCCTCGCGCCACTCTGGGTTTCCTTGACGTGTTGCTAGTACTGTGCTCTATTAAACAAAGCATCGATACTATACGGGGTGCCCTCGCGCCACCCTGGGTTTCCTCGTCGCAATATCAATTGTTAAGAAACAACATATTATAATATTTTTTGATGCTTATTAACTTATTTTATTATTACTTCCTGAGGTTGACAAAAAGATGGAAAAAAAGCAATTGACCGAACTTAGTGCATTGGCAAAAGACGAAAAAATTGAAGAGGTGAGTTCATTATTATATCATTAACTTTCTGATCTTTCTCTTCTACTAATTATACGAATTGGTTTGTATAGTACAAGTACCAAACTTCATTAAATACTCATGTGAGAGAGGAGAAGAAATTATATTCCGGCGAGCTATTAGAGTTACGCAAACGAAATAACGTAAGTATTCGGTTAAATTTATTCCCGTATTCATAGCAAATTGATATTTTTTCTTCTTCATCTAGGGTTCGATTTTCTCGAAAAATAAAGGGCATGAGTCTGATCCTGATGATCATGAGAAAAAAAAATATCGGAAAAACTCACCACAGAAGAAGCAATGCATGTAAGTTTCATTACGTTTGTTATTCGTTGTTGTTATTTGTTATTAACACGTTATCATTCATTTAGTTCAAGCAAACTATTTGCAGATGCTGAAAACAATCCGTTTTTAGTATCTAAGGATAATTTGGACAGAGGGGATGAATCAGACTCGTCTCTTTCAGATATTGAAATTGTGTCCAACTGTCCAGCAATAATCAATGATGTTAAAGGACTAAAATTGGGACCATTACCTCAAAAAGAGTCCAGATGGCTCGTAAACGACATAGACGTTTCTGAAAAATGGCATTTATTTAAGGAAAAATCGTTGGAATTGGCAAATAAAGAAGGCCTTTTTGTGGAAAGCCACACACAGCAGATATTGTATGCTTTCAATTTTTTTATTTGCTAGGTTACTGCGGAAGCTAATTGCAATTATCTTATACTGTATAGGTCCTTATCACACATTCTTTTATTGAAGCCCAAACAACATTGCCCGTTAATGGTGGAGGTTTTTGGTGATGAATTATTAGAAACGATGCACAAGGATATCATACAGAGATTTACCAAACAAGAGACAGAGTTTGATGATGAAATATTGATGAAGCTTATTCGCATTGTCAAGGTATAATATCTTCTTTTACACTTATTTGATGTGAAAAAAATTTAATGCACTCATTCTTGTTACAGCGCCTGCAACGAGAGGAGATCACAAGAGACAATGCAGTTTCAGAACTGCAAATTCTTGCAGTTAGTCGTTCTTATGAAGAATGTGCAATTTTGAAGGCCATAAGAAACATGTAAGATTGTAACGAATTTTGGAGCAAGAGGGTTTTTTACAGTATCCAATGTTAACACTTTTTATTTCTAATTATTAGTATGAAAGAGTACCAAGAACCACATTAAAAAGTTCCATTGGAGAGGTGGAGCTGTGCACTACTTACATTGACCCAATTCTCTGTCCTCTTTTTATGGATCCTGATCGTGGTATATTCCTGCGATGGTAAGCACTTTAACTTGATGATATTTTCATATATACATTTTCTAATCAATAGGAATACTATAGGTCAAATAAAGAGACAGCAGAGTCCAAGGCTAGAAAGCCAATAGGCAGGGCCAAACAGCCTGATGCTATCATCAACGAAATTGATCAGCTGTCTTGGAGCTTGAGCAAAGGACATGGTGAAGCAAAAGTTCAAGATGAAGCAAACAACCTATACCTCCTTTGCACTGATCTCATCCGGGTATCTGTGTTTAACAAAGATGCGATCGACTTTTATAACATGAATTGTATGCTCGGATTTCAGGTTGTCGGTAAGTTTTCCAACAGTAACTTTTTTTCGGATCACACATTATTGAACAAGTGCTCTGTACTCAATAGGGCATCATATCTCATTCTATCTCACCACTCTTTTGTGTGACGCCTTATATGTTACGGTGGAAGTTTGTCACGTTGATGTGCCTATGTCACTTGAACAGGTTCCTGCCTTCCTCACCAACCTTGATACGCTTCTCATCATATCTAATGCGTTTTGGGCCAATTGTATTGTGTCGACTGAAAAAAAAAGAACTAAGCAAGCGCAACACTCTTGCAACACCAAGCTTTAAAGAAATGGTTTCAAAGAGTCGGAATCGGCATCGACCTTGTCAATTACGGTTTTAATTTTTTTGGTTTAGTTATGACCCGAAATTAGTTCATAATGTTGAAATTTTCCATTATTTTGCGTAATGTAATTAAGCTGGTCTGCACCACGTTATATTGTATCTGATATTTTGAAATAAAATAAAAAAGATCACAATGTATTGTATATTTTTGTTATGTATATATGATTGAGGGATTTACTTTTTACGTTACCAAGGTGATCGGCGTTCCGAAATAGAACTCGCACGTGATTTATTGCATTGTATGATTGGCAATATTTTATACTTCAGAGTTATCTGCGTTCCAAATTGGAACGGAAACGTAATTTTTTTTTTTAACTTAATAATTTAAATAAATCGTGCTTTATATAAAAATTATTATCAAACATGTCATCAGAGCTTGAATTATTGAGACAGCGAGTTGTCAACCTCGAGGTTGAAAATACCAAGTTAAAACAGATCATAGAAGAAATCGCTAATCTTAGGATTGAAAATACAAAATTAAAACAAATTATAAAGCAAAATCGAACTACTAATAATGTTTCGCAGTATTCGGTTTCTCCGACCTTGTCAGTAACTTTACAAACACCTATTCCATCATCTATTATTGCTCATTCTGACACGGATAATAACACCAATTCTGTAAATCTCGAGCAGACACAAAGTGCTATTTCTCCTGAAATAAATTCTAACAATAATCTTGACCATCCCAGCTCCGTTGAAAAAGTAGAAAATATACTAGATAATACATCTAACCACTCTGCGACTGCTTCCGACAATTCTGATATATACCAGGAGTCGGATATTCAATACTCTGAACCACTTATTCATACAAATACCAAATCACCAGAAGATAAGGAAATTGATGATTTTCAGGATCGGGTACATAAAGAACAGATTAGTAACGAAATAAGAGAAAGAAAAAGAGAAGCAAAACTTCGAGCTCAAGATACTTCCTCTATTATTTCCCATGAGCAAAAAAGCATCCAATCGAATTCTCAACTTCAAGTTTCAAACTCATCTACTAGTTTGCACAATAAACAGTCACAAAATGGCACCCCCTCCAAAATAGTGGAAGCTAGTACATCGGTGCTAGGCACAAAGTGCCATTTCTCTGAAATAAAAATTCCCTATAAT